AGAGAGAGAGAGAGGAGTTCGGCAAATTATTATTCTCTGGTATACACCTCTACTCTGCAAGTTTAAAGACCTGTTCAAACTTGAAATACCAAGAGAACAATCGTAACATGTCGGATTAACACTGCTAATTTACCAACCGTATCGTGTATATATATATATATATATATATAAACATATACAACGTATTATTACGAAAAGTATGATATTATCGAGAAAGAGAGAATAGAGAAAAATTATTTATAAATAATTTCAATAATAGAAATATAAAGGTATTTTTGTTAATAATAAGAAATATTTATAAATCGTTTTTCGCGAATTCTTCTTCTCGATCGAAACGAAGGAAAAAAATGTGGACGCGGTGCGTAAGAGGTGTGTACAAAGGATCGGTTGGCGAGAAAAGGAAGAGGGAGAGAAAGAAGAGGAGAGAAGGAAGAATGGAGGAGAGGGCGGGGTAGGTGGAAGTGGATGTCGTGGGGGGCACCTTGCACGAGTTGACACGTCGTTGGTCGGGTCGGTTGCACCCGGCAAAAGTGTCGGCAAAGCGCGAACCGACAACGACCACCGTGTCGCGAACGCTACCGCCACCATCGCCACACCACCGCTATCTCCACGTCACCTTCCCTCTCTTTCCTTCGTATCTTTCCTTCTTCTTCCTATTCGCTCCGTCCTTGTCGTTGTCGTATACCTCTCGATACCTCTCGCTAGCTAGGGGGAGTGGGGAACTCCTTCGACACTGGTAGCGATGGCTCCGAGTTCGAAACGCGAGTGGAGAACAAATATTCCGAATAATCGTCGAATAATCGAGTCGATACGTAATCGTGGAGAAATTAGATTATTTGGACAAAATCGTGGAGAGGAAAAAAAAAAAAAAACAGACGCGAAAGGAAAAGAAGAAAACGTGAAACGCGAGACGATGGTTGGACAACGTCGAAATCGAAATCCATCGGAATCCATTCGATACGAATGTTGTCGAAAAAAAAAAAAAAATTGTTCTTTTATTTTATTTTATTTCATTATTTTTTTTTTCTCCCCTCCCACGAGAGTGTATCACTTTCATCGCTAGAAAATCCGAAATGGTGGATGGTGGGAGAAACTAGGATGTACCGACAGAGCGGCGAAGGGGTAAGCTTTCCCGGGGGAGCATGGTGTGGCGGGGTAAGTCAGCTGAACGGTCATCGATAGAGTGTGCTGGTGGGGGAGGGGAAGAAGGAGGGAGAGGGGGAAGGGGACAGCAGGGAGGCTCGGTCGAGGGAACAGTAAGCGATGCGACTCAGTCGCGATTCGAAGCCGGTCGTGGTGAGCGAATGTGTCTCGTACCGTGTCGCGCGAGCACACGGTATCCTCTTTATTTCGTTTTTTTTTTTCGTTTCCATATTTTTCCGTGCTCCGTTGCGTTCCCTGCCGTGCGTTGAACGGAACACGGTGGTGTTCACGCTGGAATATACCGCTTTAGAATCGAGATGGCTTCGTTTACGTGTACTTTCCTCGTTTCACCTTGACGAATACAAGAAGAAAGAGAACGTGTTTTTTTCGAGCCTTTGCTCGTTTCCCCTCTGCTCCTTTGTGTTCCACCGTCGCGAGTGATCACAGTGTTATTATTCGTTCCAAAGGGGAATATATATATATATATATACATACATACATATATATATATATACGTACATATACTCGTGGACAGGAAGAGGGCTAACATTCTCTCCTTCGAAGATGCTGACTTCCAGTGCGAATCAGTACCTCCGTCCGGAATATCTTACGCCTTTACCTACTACGGTTAGTGTACGTTAGTGTACTTTATTTCCTAATTCGTTTCTTTCCTCCATTTTTTTTCTTCCATTTCCACGGTCACATATTATTACGGTTATCGTATCTGTATAAAGAATATATAAATAATAATAATAATAATAATAATAATAATCTAGTTGCACGCGTGTTTAATACGTGTCTCCGGGATTTCGTTCGATTTCGTTTCAAATCAGTGGTGTATGTATGACAAATGATCGATCAAGGTTAATTTGGGAAGAGAGAGAGAGAGAGAGAGAAGGAAAAGAAAAATATCGGTAAACACGCGCAAACGAAACGGTTATAAAATAAAAAAGATCGAAAATGGGAATATCGCGATTGGAGGCGTGAAATTCGCATTACGATCGGAGTCGACGTAAAATGAACACGACGAAGAAGGATAGTTTCGACGGTTCGTTAATTCTAGTTGTCGACTTCTCGTTAATCGCGACGGGAATGCATTTCACGTCTTATGCTTTAACTCCTGTAAACTATTTTGAGGACAGCGAGTGCTGGCAAAGTTTCTGCTTCAACGTTCACTGATTTACGAGCGCCATAAATCAAAACACGATTCGGTAATACAATGCTTGGAGGATCGAGAGGGAAAGAGATGGACGAAGAGCGCGTTCGCGTTAAAAAATGAGCGAAACATTTTGCTCGTCCGTTGTTTCTTTCTACCTTGTTTTCTTTTTCTCTCTCTTTTTTTTTTCTTTCTTTTTTTACGCGCGTTATAACACGCGTATTCTGCGCGGTGAGGGGTTCCATCTTTCTTCAATCCCCCTTTTTTTTCTCGTTTTTGTAAAAATGTAACTCGATTCAAAAAAAACTCGATTTTTCGAAAGAAACGATATTTCGTTGTAGATGTTTGCCCGTGCATTCCCTCGAGTGCACGGGCAAAGAGCATGCGTATTATGTTTCAATTGGTATCACGAGTAAAAAGCAACAAGTAATTGGCAGTGTCCGATGCTATCCGGTTAAGCGGTCGCGGGATTATTTAATCGGGTCGATTCCGTTTCTATGAAATTTTACGACGATCTTTTATAGTTTTGACGTTTTAAACGAGAGAAATGAAAAATTTATTCGAATTGATTTTGAAATTAATAACGAGCGTTCGAATAAACGTCAGAATAATTTATTCGTTCTCTCGTCCTATATCTCATCGAACGTATCATCGAACGCGTTTGATTAACCGGTACCCGGTGTAGAAAAACTTTAAAGAGCGGCCAAGAGTTAATTTTAAACGAGGTTGGTAAACGACGATTATATCTGCCCACGAGGATTCGACTCGATTATCAAAAAAAAAAAAAGGAGAACGGGGGGAGGGAAATTTGAACGTTTCGTGAAATGGATGGAGAAAAGAAGGACGCCTCCACTATTCGACGCGATCGTTGTGTGAAATTAAAAGGGAAATTTCGAATCCATAAATTAATTAAGGTTAACGATAAAAACACGCGATATCGAGCGTCCCGTTAAGTTGCGTCCGAGGGAGCGATTAACATACGGCTTCGTAATAGCCTGTTGCGATTCGTGGCATTAATATCTGTCGGCGTGGAGCCATTAGCAAAAGCGACCGTAAACCGGCGGCGGGTTAGCCGCGCGAACGTTGCGTTTTAATTACGGCGAACATCTGTTCGATCGAGCGCGTATCAAACCGCGAGAATAATCGTTCCCCTATACGCTAATTACACCGAGTGCATCATCTCTCTAGCCTCTACTTGGAAGGCTCGATTTATTCCATTATTCTTCCCTCTTTTATTAATTTGCCCACCTCATTTCAAACGTAATCCTCTCCCTTTCAAACGCGACTCGATCACAGCACAGAGCGTGTCCGTTCCTTCATATTATTTACTCAACTTTGTAACTAGATTTGTCAACAACTTATTATCGAAACCTATTAAGTTTATCAAAACTTAATTTACGTATAGAGATGTTTCTTCGATCTATCTATAATCGATTTATCGCCACGTGTCGTTTTCTTTGCAGCTGGACGCTAAGAAGAGCCCGCTCGCGCTCCTCGCGCAGACTTGCAGTCAAATAGGGGCGGACACGCCGTCCAACAAATCGTTGCTGGCCTCGTTGGACAAAGGTTCGAGCAACAAGTCGTGCAAGTCGGAGAAGTCGTCGCCGGGGATGGTGAACGAGTCGTGCGGCAGCAAGGCGGCCAACTTCAAACCGTACGAGTCGTGTTTGTCGAGCGGCGTGGAAAAAGCGTCGAGCCCGGACGAGCAGCAACGATCCGGCTCCACGCACTCGATATCCGGCCGTTCGAGGACACCCGGGAGCGCCAGCAACCCGGCGGGTAAACGTTGCCCGAGCAATCAGAGCGGTTGCTCGGCCGTCGCGCGAGCGATCACCCCTCACCAACAGCAGGGAGGCCGGAAAACGGCGACACCGAACGGCGACGCGGCGGCTCGGGAATCGCCCGCCTCCAGGAATCAACAACTCGTCCTCGACTCCTCCTCGTCCTCCTCCTCCTCCTCCTCCTCCTCCTCTTCCTCCTCCTCGTGCTCCTTCTCGTCCCAGCAAGCAGCCGTGATCGTCCCAGGCAGTCCCTCGTTACAATCGAAGCCGTCGTCCTCGTACAGCCCGGCCGGTGTCCTCGCGATCACCGACCCATCCATCAAGGATCTTCCACTGGGAACGTTCAAGCCCGCCGTCACCTTGTCCACCTGCTCCTCCGCCGCTTATCTCGGCTTCAACCCTCAATTGCCGATCGAAGCGACGGCCAGCTCGTTGATGTCCCAACATTTGAAAAACAGTTTGGTGGGGAACCCGTATCTGGGCTACGCGAGGCTGAAGAGCTCGGCCGATACACCGTTGATGCCCGTTTGCAGGGATCCGTATTGCACCGGTTGCCAGTTGAACTCTCATTTGCTCGCCACCTCGACGAGTTTGGCCGGCAGCGGGAAATTGGGGAGCACCGCGGCCTCTTCCTCCTGCCCCGGTGGATGCGCGCAGTGCGATCACAAAGGCAACGGTGGTGGTGGTGGTGGAGGTGGTGGTAATGGCGGTGGTGGTAGTAACAGTGGCAGTGGTGGTGGTGGTGGTGGTGGTGGTGGTGGTGGTGGTGGTGGTAGCGGCGGCGGCGGCGGCAGTGGTGGCAGTGCGTCGACGACGGGTGGTTACGGAGCGTTGGGTGTCGCGGCTTACGCTCACGCGCAACTGGCCGCTCTGGCGGCCGTGTCTCAACTCCCTTACGTGTGCAACTGGATAGCCGGGGACACGGCGTATTGCGGGAAAAGGTTCTCCACCTCGGACGAGTTGCTGCAACATCTGAGGAGTCACACGAGCGTGACGGGGGGGGATCCTTCGGGGGCGGCCCTCTCCCTGCTCTCGCCCCCGGTCGGCCTCCCGCACCCCCTTTTCTCCAGGACTTACCCAACGCCACCTCTGAGCCCGCTCGCGACCGCCCGCTATCACCCTTACGGCAAGCCGCCCCCCCTCCTGGCCCCGTCCCTCTCCACCCTCGCCCTCCCCCTCCCCCCTCCCCACCCGCACACGGCCCCGGCCCTGCCGCCCTACTTCTCCCCGTACTCACTGTACGCCGGCCCGTCGAGGCTCGGCGCCGCTTCCGGCTTGCCCCAATGAGTTCACGGCCAAACAAAGGATGTATCGATCGCCTCGTCGACTGTGATCCACGCGCGTTGAATCTATCAACGTTTCCAACCTCGCATCCCCTCGCGTGTATACCCGTTTGACTGGGCTTAGGATAGGCGCCACCTATAGAAGTTTCCACTCGAGTCGGATTTCACGAGTGGGGCGAGTTGCGTGTGGGGCTGAACGTTGGTAAAAAGGATCGCGATTCGGATCGGCGCGCTTTCAACTGTGATTCTCGCGCAAGAATAAACGAAGTAATTGTTAAATCTTGTCGGGGGGAGGGGAGGATCGCGATCTTTTACCACCTTCCCTTCTCGATCCCTCGCGCGCCTCGAGTGTCACGTTTTCGCTCGTCCACCCCGCGCCTCGCGTTTTTTTTTTTTTTTTTTGTTACACCGCTCGACACGTTTTCTCGACACCGTCCGACACGTATATATATATATATATATATATATATATATATATATATATCTCTCCTTCCTCCTCCGTCGT